CAAGTCAAATAAATCCCAAAATACCCACCAGGTTTTTTTAACTTTTTCTTCCCCCTCCCCGATTTTAATAAATTGTTTAATAGGAAATAAAATCTCTAACAGAGGAAGTACTGAGAAACAGCTTTGAACTTGAACAACCTAACATGGTTAGTATTTAATCAGGGGAGACAATTAATAAGAATTGGGAGCTTCGAGTTGAGATATGTGTAGATTTTGCGAAGGCTTTTCATAGTTTTATCATGGCAATACCCTGTTCTTCCTTATTATCTTCCGGATCTACTTCTACCACTTCTGAAACCACTTTGACCTTTATCATTCCTCAAATTTCACTTTCCTCTCTCTCGTTTTTTACTCTTGCTTCTTTCCCATCTCTCTTCTCTTCTTCTTCCCTGTTCTTGGGCTCTCCTCTTCCCCCTCAGTCTCATTTTCTGTCACCTTACTCTCTCTTCTACTGACCTCTCACTCTCTCCTCTTCCACCTCTTCTGCTACCTGACCTTCTCCTCTCCTGCCTACTCGCTCTCCCATCTTCAGCATCTTTGCCCTCTCTTCCACCTCCTCGTCCTCTTCTTTTGTGCCTCCCTCTCTCCTCTTTCTTTTCAACCCTTTCTTTGTCACCTGTTCACTCTGTCCTTTCACATGCTCCATTTTTGCCCTCATCACTCTTGCGTCTTTTCCCTCTCTACTTTTGCCTTCTTTTCCCCTCTCCACTTTCTTCTTCTCCCTTTCTTCTTAACAATTTATTAAAATATCCTCAAAAACTGTTCTAAATTTCTATAACTTTTGTTTTCAGATAGAGCAATGTTGGTTTCATAGTATGGCATAGGCTAAATTATCATTAAAAACTAATGATGGAGTTTTAATAATTGCAAATATGTACTTCAGCATTAATGCTAGAGATTTTTTGTGTAATGGGATTTATTCCTCAATTAAATATTTTTAAATTGTCTCAAATAAGCATTTTTGAAAATATTAGTAGATTTCACTCAATTTTGAGTTACGTGGTGACTAAGTTGAAATTGTTTTTAAACCTTTGCTACATTCTTAATATTGAAGTTATAAATAGTTCTTAATTTCTCTTTCTTAAAATTTTTTATAAATTATACAATGCCAGCTTAGCATATTACATATAGAAGCAATAATAAAGTAACCTAACTTGTGACTTTTAAAGAAGAAAAAAAAAAAAATAGATAACCTCATATTTTTTAGGATAGTATGTTTGAAATGACAGTTTTTAAGAAAACTGTACATCTGTTTGATTTGCATTTATGATCAATATGTTTCTCAAAATTAATTTGTTGTGAAGTTCCAAAAAATTTGAAAGTCATTGAACTTAAAAGATTAAAGACAGCCTCTGACCTATTACATTATATTCTTGTGTGTTTCAGATTGAAAATAATAGAACAGACTGCAGATCATGTGACTGTTCAGGCAGGTGCCAATGAAGCCAAAGTTTTTGCTGCGCCTTTCCGGGTTGACCTCTATTCCCATGGACAGCTTGTTATCAGCAGCAATGCTCGTGGACTTTTAAAATTTGAACACTATAGAAAAAAACCAGAACAGTAAGCATTTTCCTCAGAGTTATGTGAGAAGAAGTTTGTAGTTGCTGTCACCTTTATGTGATTCTTGTTTGAATATAATCACCAAAATTCCAAATTTATAACATAGATTTTGTCTTTTGTTTAATTCCATGATTTCTATTCATATTTTAATAAATTTTAACTGCATATTTCTGGAGCTATGTAATTTTAAATGTTTGCTTCATATTTACCAGACTGCAATGATACAAAGGAGCGTAAGTTAAGCTGCTTTCTTCATTCCCCTCTACAGCATGGACGGAAAAAGTGTTATTATACTTGCCTTTATTTCACACAGCTCCTCAGATTTTGAAAACATTGTAAATGTTCTTTGAAGATATAAATTTGAAGAATGGATTTCTAATGGAAGAATAGATAACTAACCATTGGATTGAATAGCTTGGAATCAGAACATACTACAAATATTTCTTTATCATACTTTTTCAACATATTGTTGGCCCCTATTGTCAGGGATTGGAAAAAAAAATACCTGTACTAGGGTGACAAGGTAAAGACCTCTACGGCAATAAGATGAAAGAGACAACCTATGAGGGTTCCTACAAAGCCTTTAAGTGTATTTAAGAAAGAAAGGCACTGTCCAATGTTGAAAAATTGAAGCGTGGAACATGAGAAGCATTCATTCGAAAGAATCACAAATTGAGAACTTAATGCATGATGTACTCTTTCTCTCGGAAAGAAAAATTGAAAGGCAGAGTAGAAAGTGGTTCAACATCTGATTTAGTGTGTGAATTGCAAACCAAAGATTAGCAGTACTCCTTAACGGCAGTGGGAAGAAAGAATTACGTGTTATAACTGGAATGAAAGATTATGTACTATCAGATGTAGAATTAAGAATGGACTTGGACTTTTATTGCATTATATGCTCCACAAGAGAACAAAGAAGAAGAATCAATTGAGTTTACAAGAAACCAATGTATATTATTATGTGTGGAGATTTTAATGCCAGAATTGGAACTTAAAGCGCATACAAAACATTGTGGGAAATTGTGGAGAAAATTACCTTGAATAAAAATGATGCAAAACTGATGGTCTTTTGCAGCTATAATAATTTTGGGATCGGACTCCTTTTTTAGAGAAAGAAATTCACAAATTTACATGGGCTACAGGAGAACAGAGCTCAATTATAGATAACGCTCTTGCTAACGAAAAAAGCTGCCAAACTATGTGAAGACGCAAGAATATGCAAATGCTATTGGAAGTGACTATTACTTATTAGAACAGAAAATAAGGTTGAAAAAGATATGGATAAAAGCTTGACCAACAATACTAAAGAAAATAGTTTCTTAAGTTCATCTTTTAGAACAAACATGTGTTAAACAATTCTATCAGAAACGAATGGACGAAAAGCAGTCTCCCTATCATAAAATTAAGAACTGGAGACTGACGGAGAAAATATAAAAGCATCATAAAACAGATTGGGTGAAAAAAAATCCATGAATATAATTATAATGTGATTTTGTGACCAGAAACTCGTAAACATTGACGAAACAATAAGTTGAGAAGAGCTTATTGTTTTGACAATATTTACAAGTTTTGGGTCATAGAATAACCACGTAAAAACATAAATCCCAATCAACTAGGTTTAATATGAGATCTTTAGGTAAAGACCTCATCTTATATTCGGATATATACAGTAATTCTTATTAAATAGTTTTTAAACCAATTAAATTGATTATCCTGATTTATTAACCTCAAACCACACAATTATGAAAATATTCCTCGACTTCTAAATTCTTTTAGGTACTGGTAAATGAAAAATAAAAATCTTGTGGGATACCACAGTTAATTTGGAGAACATTGGAAGCAAATACATCTGAAATTGTCATATTCCACAAAACCACTGGAAAGACAATATTCATAGATATTGCGATTCCATTATATTATCTTCTGTTAAGTTCATAAAAGAAAAAGATGTGTACCACTTACAATTAAACTTGCACTTCAACACTTGTCACACCAGCCCAAAAAAGTAGATATTATGTCCATGGTTATTGCATCTAATGATCTTATTTCTGAAGGTTTGGGGATTCTCAAGGAAAAGTATCAACTTTGAGTGTTACTTCAGAGACTTACAGAAGGCCATGCTATAGGCAACTGCTGATGGTGTGCATAAGGTTTTGTCTCTGTTGTTGAAGCGAAACCTTAGTGCACTAAAACAAGAACTTGCATATCTCACCATATATGCTGCTGCTCTGTCCTTGGTTCTATCTTGAATCTCCAGATGAGCGTGGATATTTGAAATTCTAATAATAAGTAGCTGAGCCCGTGTGATTATATTGCAGAAAAATTACAACAGAAAAGTACTATATATGCCCACTAGAGAAAACTGAAAAATCTCAAAAATATTCTTCATGCTGTTTAGTGGTTATTTTTCAAGATCAGTGAATAAAGAAATTTATAAATTCTGGAACAATATAATCATTATTCACAGTGAAGACAGTGTTAATTAAAAATCTTTGTGAAAATGTAATTGAAATGTTTTATATTTTCCAAGATCTGTTCGTATAGTATATGGTGAACTTCAATAGGAAATCCTGGTATTCACTAAAATGTAATGCATCATTCATTATAATCACTGAATATATTTTGTAAATGGCATGTCAGATGATCGCTGGAAATAGCTTGTATATACACTCTAACCATAATGTTTAAAAAGGCACAATAATCTTTGAACTTAAAAAAACTCATGAAGGAACATTAACTGCTTTCGATTCACCATTGCCCACTCGCCAAAAAACAAAAGAACTAGGCAACAAAATACATGAAATGTAGTAAATGTTAAGTTGTAAATGAACAATTGAGGCAGATGAACATAAATTCTATTAATTATTATAAGGTGTTATTAAAATTTTGTGTGTTTACTTTAAAATGGGGTAATAAGAACAAGTAATAAAACATGTAGGGTCACTCTCTACATCATTTAAAGCAAAATTTGTTGGTTTCAAATACTTTCTAAATAAAAATAGTTTGTATTTTATATATATTATAATATACATATATTATTATATATTATTATTATTATTATTATTATTATTATTATTATTATTATTATTATTATTATTAACTTGATTGGCCACATTGGACCACTTGAGTCGTTCCACTTCACTTTTTACTGTTCATGGTCAACTGTCGAAGGTGTGTCACCTTGAGGTGAGGATAAATCCTCGAGTACAATTCTAATGTTATTCAGAAAGGTGATAATGAGAGATGGAGGATGATGTTATGAATCTAGGGGGTGACAAGGACGACACAACACAAACCATGCCCGAGGCGGGACTCGTACCCGCGATCCTTTGGTCCGAGATCGCTACAGCACTTCTGCCTAAGCTATCTCGGCCACCGGATCAGCAAATAATAATTAATATATGCATAATAAATAAAAATTTATATTTTAAATAAAAATAAAATTAGTTAAAATCTGAATTTGTGAACATTATTCTGTAACCTACCATAGCAAAATTGCTGGGCACTGAATAAGGCACATTTAATTTATTTATAATAGGGATGAAAAAATCCTGATTTAAAAAAATTAAAATATAAATCGGATTTTTTAAAATTGTATTACATATGTTTCTTTAAACCAAAATTGTTAAGTGATGTATTTATCCTTAATTACTTAATGGGTGGGAAAAAGTGTATCAAATTATCATTTTTAAATTCATTATTAAATTGCTATAATTTTATTTAAAAAATAAGAGATACTATGTATTTGAGGGGTCTGGTGTAATATCACCCTAATCCACAAAATCTTTAAATTTGATTTATTTAAAGCTCTTGAAACCCTTCTCTTAGCAACCACATTACTGAATAAGCTTGTAACATCATCTATTAGCATAATTTAGAAAAAAAGGCATTCTTTGTTCAAAGAAATTTTACCATCTTTTTTGTGCAATACCACCCTAATCAAAAAGTACTTATTGCTGAAAACAGCGGAATTCATTGAGAAACTTATGAAATATTAAATTCTTCTTAATTGTTGTCCTTTTATAAAAAAATGTGGGGTATAATTGTTGTTACTTGTGCATATTTCCACCCTTCAACTGTCATTGGGAAGCATGCTTTCCACTTAAAAAACTTTTTATCAATATAAATAGGGTAATAAAACGGTCAATATTATTAGAAGTAGTAAGATTAACTACCGTTTTCATTAGTTTTAACAATATTAATTTTGTTCTTTAAATAAGTATTAATAAAGTTCCGTTTTTATTAATCCTCATCATCTTTTTTTAAGAAGCTTTAGCAAACATTTAAATACAAATTTAGAATTTTAGACACCGTTCAAGCTTGTTTCTCGAAACATGGTCAGTGTGTGTTAGGGCTGCATTGCTGCTAAATTTGTATTTACCTACGGACAATTAAAAGATGGATGAAAATGCATGTATCCTCTAAGTCTGTTAGCATAGAACTATTACCACAAATTGTTTTTTGTTCTCTGTTTCATAAGTTTGTTCATTTTATTGAATATTATAGTGCATATTATTTCCTCAAAATAGTTAAAGTATGTGAAAAAGTTTATAAGAAATACATTCTTAACATCAACTTTGTTAATGATTTAAGTCTTTTTATCTGATTAAAAAAAAATTATTTAAGTATAATGCAGGGAATTGTGGTATGAAAAATACAAATATATTTTCAAATATTACAAATAGTAAATATTGATTTAAATCACATGATTTCAATCATACCTGTCCTAATTTATAAACACTCTAATTTCTTCATAATTTTTGTATTTTTTTAATGGTTATACTGTATATTTTTATGAACATATTTGACAGCTTTATATCTCATGATAATGACTAAAGTAAAATTTGATGTATAAAGAAGAGGTAATTATTGTGGAACCTTTGTGCTTTGTGTTTGAAAACTAATGTCTTGCAGGAAGGCAGAGGAAGGTGCGGGAGCCGCAGAGGAAGCTGTGGCAGCTGGGGAGGAGGACATTGAAGCAGACCCAGGTGCCTGGGAGGAAAATTTCAAGTCTCATCATGATACAAAACCTTATGGGCCTGCAGCTGTGGCTCTGGACTTTTCCTTTGTTGGCGCTCATCATGCATACGGCATTCCGGAACATGCTGACTCGTTCGCTCTCAAGTCAACCAAGTATGATTATTTGATCCAATCAGTTATTTTCTTAACTAAACACAAGTATGGTCCGGGTATATTAGATAGTTCTTGTGGTTAATCTTAATGTTGATAATATCATTAACCTTGATTTTTGTGGTGTATACAACAGTGGATCATCTTTCTGTCTGTTCCTTTTCCATGCTGTCTCTTAGTTGTTAATCATTATTGATCATCCAAAGATTCTTTTTCATTAAGCTTATTTTTATTTGGAGCAAATTCATCCACATACTCACACATTCCTTATACAAACCTCTCCTGCAAAAAAAAAAATTCTGCAATTGGCATGTTACTGGCTGATCCTCTTGATTCCTGGAAAATGAAATTGCAGCTATACCAATTTTATTTAAAGTTAATTTTATTTTACATTATTGTAATGGTTGATAATTTTTAATGATTCAGAAGTGTGATATGGTTGTGATTATTTTTGTGTTGTTTCTTACAGAAACACTGATCCTTATCGCCTATATAACTTGGATGTTTTTGAATATGAATTGTGGAATCCTATGGCACTGTATGGTTCAGTTCCATTCTTGATTGCTCATGGGTAGGTAGAAGTTTGACAGTCATTTATCTATCTGTATTCATTAACGCACAATTGGGATAATACATTTCAAAGTTGATTCTTGTGATAGAGCTTTTTGTGGGTATATTTCCTAGAAGTACCCCACTATAAATTTTTTTTAGTTTTTTTTTATTTATTTACAGTTAATGATTCCAGTTTACAAATTTATAACTTGGATAATAAATAGTTTAGAAGAAATTGCAAAACAATACATTCCTTACATTATACTGAATTGACATTGATAGTGAAAACACAGAACAATACATAACAACTTATTGAATAGTATTTACAGTATTTGAAAGAAAATTAGCTTAGTTCTTTGTATGAAAATTAAAAGTATTGCATTGGAGCCAACACTTCTACTTAGTCTAATTTATTGCCCTTGGCAAAATGTGATGCAGATATTTTGATTTAAATGTAAATTCAGTTGGACACATTAGTTTTATTCAAGTTTTTTTGTGTGAATGTATTTACTGATACACATTATGTCTTGTTAAGCACAAATATTTTTAATATAAAATAGATAATTATTGGTGATAATATTTGGTCCTTCATAGAAATGGTTACCTTGAGAAATGAAATATGTTGTGAAAAATCACTTTATATTATTAACTATAAGACAGTAAAAATTAATTAATAAATATTTTATACTTGTATAATTATCCTAATCAAATAAATAAATAGAAAAAATTTAACCATTTTTTCGACAGGCCAAGACAATGCAGGATTCGAATTTTGAGTTTGAAAAGTTTTACTCTAGTTGCTGATAATCTAGTACATACACTATGATTAATAGCTAAGTGAATCTGAGAGCTATACTTGCTGTAGTTCTAGTTACCGGTAAGATCTTCCTTGATGGACAGGTTGTAGGAAAGGGGTCAGACAAAGAAATACTCTAGAAGACGACCTCAATGCAAAGACAGATAAGAGATTTTCTACAACTTCTAGGATGGAAGAAGGCAACAAGAGCAAGGAGACGAATGAACTGACGCTTTCAACTCTTGTTAAGAATTTTTCCAAATGAGGAGAGAGTCCTTAAGGCCGTGGAGAAGGTAATCCCATTGGGGCAAGGGAAGTCTAAAGTAATTCCCCCTCCTCAAGCAAGAGGTTTGGCAGAGAGGGCTAGCAAGCTACCGTCCCAGGTAAAATAAGATTTACTTGCCGTGATCACAATGATTGCTTTGGAAATGAAACTACTAAAATGCCTATATACACTCTTGCGCTAGGGCAGGTTGGGTCATGAGGGGCCTAAATACGAGAGTAGGGAAAGAGAGTATACCAAGGTGCAAGACTGGAAAGAAATATTAAAATACTACAGTGGAAAAAAAATTGGGAATGTGCAGCCTTAAATGAACTATATGTAGCAAATACTTCTAAAAGGAAGGATCTTTATAAGTACTTATGGGTAGTATGTGGTAGTTGACTACACTATATTTGGAAACAAAAGAATATCAAAACTAATAGAAGACATAGTAGCTAAAAGAAGTTGTAATGTAACCTCCTGTCACTTTTTGGTATTGTCCCATACAAAATTATTTGCAAGATTGTAAAAGTAAATCAAGATGCTAAAATAATGGTATAGAAGAAAATTATTAAGTGTCCTCTTGTAGAAGATTAGTGTGTGCAAAAATTATAATAAACTCAAATAAATGTGTGTGTGTGTGTGTTTGTGTGTGTGTTTGTGTTTGTTTGTGTGTGTGTTTGTGTGTGTGTGTGTATGATGCATCAAAATATTTTAACTGTAAATTTGCTTAGGTTTATCTCAATACACCACATAAATAGATATTATTAATTCTCTATGTATCTATGTGGTGTATGGAGGTCTTCAGGTAAATTTACTGTATAAATATTTCAGTACATGCACAAGGGATGTTCAATAAGTTATGTACCTCGATATCTGATGTCATTGTTGGAGAGCTGAGCGTGTAAGGGCATGTTGGGACATGTCTAGGTATGCTGCGGCCTCAGTTACAAATCAGTCTGCTGTAGCTCTTGATGTGAGAAGATGGCAAGTGCAAAGCCATGCACATCAACAGAGATAATGTTCAGTGATAAAATTCCACAAAAAGGAAGAGAAGCAGCCTAAGGAATTTCATGAAAAGATGAATGTTGCATCTGGTGATGATGCACCTTCATACTTTAAACTAAAATTTGGCGCCAAGCAATTTAAGTGGGGGAGAGAATCGATTGAAGATGACGCACATTCAGGACGGCCTGTGGAAGCCACTTCAAAGGAAATGTGCCAAAAAGTGGAGATCAGGATTTTTGAATATAGTCTTAAAGTGAGTATTATAGCTCATGAACTTGGCATTTCAGCTGGCATAGTTCATAGTATCATCTACACAGAACGTGCAAGGTCAGTTGCTGCTGGGTGCCAAGAATGAGAACTTTCGAGCAGAAAGCATTTTGCCAGCAATGTTGCAGAGAGAATTTCAACTTGCCTGGAGAAAATTCAAGTAACTTTTACTCTCAAATTGCAGCAGGAGATGAAATGTGGGTTCGCCATTGTGATCCTGAAACCATGCAAGACTCCATGCAATGGAAGCAGAAGGGGTCTCCAGCATCTAACAAGTGTTGTGTGCAGAAGCCGGAAAGATCATGGCCACTGTTTATAGGATCCAGAAAGTGTTCTGCTTGTAGAATTCCTGCCCAAAAGACATCCACTCTGGAGACACTTCTTCAACTGTATGGGCTTCACGTGAGTCTAACAGAAGCACCACGGGAAGCTCAGTTGCTCCACGATATAGCGGCTGCCCACAAGTCATACAATTAACATGGTGCTGTGAAGGACCATGTTTCATACTGCTTAATCATCCACCTTATAGTTCAGATCTGGTTTCCGGTGACTAATTTCTGTTTAAAAACATGAAGAAAGTTCTGTGTGGGCTACAATTTTTTCATGATGAAACGGTAAGGAAGCTGTAATGGAATATCTGAACAGTCAAGATGTTTACTTCTACTCTGAGGGTATTCGATCACTGGAGGCTAAGTGGACTAAGTGTGTTGAAGTCATGTGGGATTATATTGAGCTTAGTTTTACCATCAAATTTCATATTCTTGCTCAGGTTGATAACTTATTAATCCTCCATATGTAGAAAAGAGTGTAAACATATTAGAAGGATGCCAGAAAACAGGCTATCTGCACTTGCAGTGGACTACAGATGCAAAAGAGGGAGCGATGTAGAAAGGCCATGGAGCAAGTGGACACTGGAGCAGGTTCAAAGAGCATAATCCTTGAAGTGTTGAAGTCAGTATGACAAGTTGTACCCCAACTATTGTTGCAATGGAAGAATCATAGTCATCTTGTCGACCTTTAAAGAATTTTCTGTTTGCTTGAAAATAAAATATTATATTATTGTTAATTTACACATTAGAAACTACACCCAGTAAGATAAATAAATTGCTTGGCTTCACATTCGGGTGGGAGTAGGCTTTATAGCACCCTCGATACACCAACACCAACAACACCACAACACCAACAACAACACCACCAACAACAACACCAACAACACCATCAACAACACCACCACCAACACCACCACCAATACCAACACCACCGCCAATACCAACACCACCACCAATACCAACACACCGCCAATAACCAACCCCACGCCCAATGCCCAACACCACCGCGCCCAAGCACCCACCCCCCAATGCCAACACCACCGCCCCAATGCCAAACACCACCGCCCCAATGCCAACCAACAACGCCCCAAGCCAACACCACCGCCCCCAATGCCAACACCACCGCCCCAATGCCAACACCCACCGCCCCAATGCCAACACACCGCCCAATTGCCACACCATCCGCCCCAATGCCCAACACCACCGCCCCAATGCCAACACCACCGCGCCAATGTCCTAAACACCACCGGCCCCAATGCCAACACCACCGCCCAATGCCAACACCGCCGGCCCAATGCCACACCGCCGCCCCACGCCAACACCGCCGCCCCACTGCCAACACGCCGCCCCCACTGCCAACCACCGCCGCCCACTGCCAACACCGCCGCCCCACTGCCAACACCGCCGCCCCACTGCCAACACCGCCGCCCCACTAGCCAACACCGCCGCCCCACTGCCCAACACCGCCGCCCCACTGGCCAACACCGCCGCCCCACTGCCAACACCGGCCGCCCCACATGCCAACACCGCCGCCCCACTGCCAACACCGCCGCCCCACTGCCAAACACCGCCGCCCACTGCCAACACCCGGCCGCCCCATTGCCAACACCGCCGCCCCACTGCAACACGCCGCCCCACTGCCAACACCGCCGCCCCACTGCCAACACCGCCGCCCACTGCCAACACCGCCGCCCCATGCCAAACACCCTCGCGCGCCCCACTGCCAACACCGCCGCCCCACTGCCAACACCGCCGCCCCACGTGCCAACAACCGCCGCCCCACTGCCAAACACCGCCCGCCCCACTGCCAACACCGCCGCCCCACTGCCAACACCGCCGCGCCCAATGCCAAAACACCGCCGCCCCGAATTGCCAACACCGCCGCCGAATGCCAACACCCGCGCACCCAATGGCCAAACACCGCCGCCCAATGCCAACACCGCCGCCCCAATGCCAACACCGCCGCCCATGCCCAACACCGCCGCCCCAATGCCAACACCGCCGCCCCAATGCCAAACCGGCCGCCCAATGCCAACACCGCCGCCCAATGCCAACACCGCCGCCCCAATGCCAAACACCGCCGCCCCAAATGCCAACACCGCCGCCCAATCCAACACGCCGCCCCAATGCCAACAACCGCCGCCCAATGCAACACCCCGCCCCAATGCCAAACACCGCGCCCCAAATGCCAACACCGCCGCCCAATGCCAACACCGCCGCCCCCAATGCCAACTAACCACCACCACCACCAATACCAACACCACCACCACCAATACCAACACCAACACCACCACCACCACCACCACCACCAATACCAATACCACCGCCACCCCCGACAACACCACCGCCACCCCCAACAACAACACCGCCAACAATAACAATGCCAACAACAACAACAAACAACCCAAATCTTGCCTGCTACACATCACTCTTCACCACAGAAAATTTTCATTTATAGTCCAAGGTGAGACTTTTTAACACACATTATTTTTATTACATATAATGCCTGTTTCTGTCAAAATAAATTAAATTTTATAAAATTAAAAACAAACTAATAATAAAAACAATGCTCTTGGTGTCCCCATGTAAGAAATTATGTTGCTTATTGAAAAATCCAACATTAAGTAAAGCTATTTGTTCTGACACAGCCCTGCGCGAACAGTGGGGGTGCTCTGGTTGAATGCAGCAGAAACTTGGGTGGATATCTTGAGCTCTGGTGATCAGACTGTTGTGTCATCCATTGTGAACTTTGTGTCTGGTTCAGACCCCACCCCACAAGTTGATGCCCACTTCATATCTGAGACTGGCATCATTGATGTGTTCTTCAACCTGGGTCCCCGGCCTCTGGACGTCTTTAGACAATACACAAAGCTCACAGGAACTGCTCCACTGCCCCAGGTAGGACTTGTGCCATTAATTTTGTACTATGTTATGGCTGAAGTTCAAAATGTCTAAATTGTCAGTTACCTAGTTGTTTTGCACATTATCACAATGAGTACCTGTAGACAGTTGTTTCAGTAGTGCACTTCAGTCACTCCTAGCTCTTTCTCCCTTTGATCAGTTAACTACAATACAACTCCTGATTCATTAAGTCTTGCTACAATCTAGCACTTTGTTGGATCCCAGGCCACAATGTTAGTGCTAATAATATGGTGGCTGACCAGGCTACGAAGTCAACAACTTGGAAGCCATGGCACAAAATAGAAAGAAATAGATATTGTTTGTCCCATCTGTCACCTTTTATCAGTTCCCATTGTATTTTCCCCAAAAGTCCTAGCTTTCCTTGAGGAATAGACTGTCAAAAAGTACCAGGTTTAACCTACAAATGAAATTAAATGTGTACATTCATCTTATTATGATTTACATTTCTTGTGTTTTAATTGTTCAATTAATATTTTTTATTTTTAAATTCTTAAGGATATAAAATATCAGTTAACTCAGTCATTAAAGAACAAATAGCTTGTAATTCTTATATTTTGTTGCTTTCAGTACTTTGCTATAGCTTATCACCAGTCCAGATGGAATTATAATGACCAAGATGATGTGCGAATGGTAGAAAGCAAATTTGATGAGCATGACTTACCTCTGGATGTTATGTGGCTGGATATTGAACACACTGATAACAAAAAGTGAGTGTCAACAACTGAACAAATTATTTTTTGGTAACTTTTTTGCAGCCTTTTGCAAGGAGAAATAAGTAAACTTCCATAAAGTTAATAATCCTGAAGAAAGGAAATTCGTACAGATATGAGAGGAATGTATTCATGAAATTGGATTGGAGAAAAAAATTATACATTATTAAATTGCGCAATTGTGTTGTAAAGTTGTAGATTTTGAGGGCAGAATATCATGCATTGACATACCTTTCTTCAGAAAAGAAGTGAAGCAATCCATTCTGTGACATGTGTACGGCATGTAATATAACATGGAACCTAAGAGATACCTCTTAGCAGAATTTGAATAGGATTTTTCTCATTAGTAATCTTACTTTAAGACCCAGGTGACATTGTGGCCCCACGCCTGTCTTCTGTAACTGATATTATAAACACTCAAAAAAATATTCATGACTGATCTTTTAATTATCTTTTAACTAATTTTTTTGAAAAAATGTAATTCAGGAAGAAATAATTTTTCAGCTTTTTATCCAGTAACTTAATTTGTTCCTGTGCAGATATTTCACTTGGGATCACTTGCGTTTCTCTCAGCCAACTGAAATGACTCAAAATCTGACTGCTCATGGTCGCAAGTTGGTGGTGATTGTTGATCCACATATCAAACGTGATGGTTCGTACTTTTTGCACAACGATGCGGAGAGCAATGGCTACTATGTGAAGAACAAGGAGGGCCGGGACTTCGAAGGGTGGTGCTGGCCAGGCTCCTCCAGCTACTTGGACTTCCTTAACCCTGCCGTCCAGGACTACTATGCTCAGCGCTACTCTCTGGACAACTTCAAGGTACAATATCGTTTCTTTATAATTCAGTAGACAGATAGGCAGTCCTGATATCCCCTATTCTGAACACAGTTCAGTTTGTGCATTCCCACAAACCTAACCCTCCTCCAGATTTTTTCTGTGCTGTTGGTTTGCTTTAGTTCGCTAAAATTGAATAAACACGAAAGAAGAAAGAATGGAAGGCTTTCACTGAAACAGGTGAAGAATTCGAAACTGATAGGATAAAGACAAAGGAAGATAGGTTGGTTGATGATGTAGGAGCAGATTGTAGGTTAGGTGTGAGTGAGGAGTTAAGGAAAGGAAAGACAATGTAGGAGGAATAACAGAGTTACTAGAAGTCAGGAAAAGGAAAAAGGAAGTTCAGAGTCATTAATGCACATGGGTTGCCCAGTGTGTTTAGAAATATTATTCCTATTATGAGAAATGATTTTCAAAATGTGGTGTTCATATACCCCCTTGTGTGAATGTTTAAATTTGGAAGTCAATTGTTTTCAGGGTTCCACTGAAGACACTTACATTTGGAATGATATGAATGAACCGTCTGTGTTTAGTGGCCCAGAAGTCACAATGCACAAGGATTGTGTACATCATGGTGGATGGGAACATCGTGAGATTCACAATATCTATGCATTACTCAATGTAAGTAGGGAGCAGAAGAACTTATGCATTTTCTCATGAAATATTGAAGAAACTCTTTTATACTTTAATCAGTATTTTTGATTTCTATTCTTACAATTTTCACTAGACTTATATTCCTTTAAAATTTTCTCTTCAGCAGTTCAATTTTTTTTGCTTTGGTTGACAGTTATTTACTGGCTAACATTTTCACCAAATTCAACTAGTATATGACTGTTTCAAATAATGGTTAATGAAATGGGTTTCATTTTGTGATTGCGTAAAACATGCCTTTTTGCTATTTATTTTGTGTGTATCTGTGTTCACCAGACAATATGTAGTGCTGGAAGTCAATTGACTTCCAGAATACCTGAGAGAAATGCAAAAATTGTACAGAATCTGTTCAGTATATTGATGTCCAGATTTTGCTGGTTTAGTCACACTGTTCTCTTAAGCATTTGGTATTTGACATTCTTCCTCTTTGTTCTAGACCAAAGTAACATTTAATGGTCTTTTCCGTCGATCAGAAGGCAAACTGCGACCTTTTATTTTAACAAGAGGACATTTTGCGGGCAGTCAACGTTATGCAGCAGTTTGGACAGGTGATAATGCCGCTGACTGGGCACATCTGCGAATTACTGTGCCCATGTGTTTATCATTATCTGTTTCGGGGATCTCCTTCTGTGGAGCTGATGTTGGCGCTTCTTCAGATCTCCTGATGAAGAACTAATCACCGGCTGGTATCAGGTATTGAAAAAACAAATAAGACAGTAGAAGAAAATAAGTTAAATTATTATTGCACATGTTTATCATGTTCGTTTAATAAATTAAAACCAAAACTTGAGTGAATTGTAAGTAATGTAGTATAACGATGTGTAAAATCAATTTGGGTACTTGATGTGATAGCTTGTGCTGCCTTTTGAAAACTTTCCTTAATAAAATAAAGAACAAGAGAAAGAGTGCCTGTGAATGTGTGTGAATGTTTGTTTGTTTATTTATTTATTTTGAATTTACAAAATGTCAGTCTACTTTAAATTTTTTTACGGGTATAGGTGGAAATTTTTAAAAGACACTGAATAACACACTACTCAGAATGTGAGATTTTTACGTACTAAAACTGAACACCCTTCTTCTCTATCCTGTGGAATTGCCTATAGGCATTGCATTGTGGAGAATGGAATAGTGATTCTGTCACACCCTGTTCTATCTTTTCTTTTTCCAGGTGTCTTAATTCCAGCTGTACTGCATGTAAAATTCACATACTGTCCTCCCACTACCCTCAGAATCAAGCATATACATAAAACTATGCTTTCTGGAATCATCTGGCCTATCCCAAGAAACTCAATAATGATTTGTTGTTGAAGGTCGAAATGTGGACACCGAGAAAACACATAATCGGTTCACACACAGGGCAGTACGGGGTATCATTGAATTTGAACCTGTGGAGGTAGGGGGCCCAGTCTGTCAGAAGCTTTTTGAAATAATTGACCCCACCATGCTTTTGACTGATCCAGGATTCAACCATAGGTACCAGTCTTTGCCCGCCTTCCCTTAAAGGAAGTGTCCCATTGCTTCTGCCATTCTGCACGTTGTTCCAAGTAGTTTTGCATTTCTCTCTTCATGGTAGTTACAAGCATCACTTCTGCCATGTTTGGCAAGCTGCAATCCTGTGAAATCCTGCTGATTAATAATGGCAATGGCTTCATTGCAGATACACAGTATCTCCTATAAATTTTGTGACCACGATAATGGTCATGCTGTCTGTGAAACCTATTATCTTGGTTCCTTCTGGGAGTGGGAGCCTAGGAACCTCATCATGCATGACATTCCACATGCAATGAACACAGCACTGAACCTTGTGGGACTCCAGCATTTATTTATTGTGTCATGCCTTGATATATACTATGTTAAAATTACAAAATAAGTGTAGTTGTTTAGTTTACAAATTTGTATGTAGAAAGAACATGTTTAAACATGTCCGAATGTCAAGTCAGAAAGTGTACCGTTTTATTTCCTTCTTCTCGCCGTTTTCTTAACCGCTACTTCGGTTCTCCAGTCTTCCCTGTTCTTCCAAGAATCAGGAGGTAATTTCCACTTCTCGATTATCTTTCTCATCTGGCCGTTCCATCCTGATCTTGGTCTGCCTCGTTTTCTCCTTTCACTTGGTTGCCATTCTAAGGATCTTCTGGGGAGTCTTCTCTTGTCCATTCGATGTATGTCCAAACCTACCGAGTTGTTTCTTTTCAATTTTCTCTATAATATCAAGTTGCTAATTCATTATTTCCTTAACCTGTTCATACCTAATCCTTTCCCTTCTAGATATTGCTGCAGCTCTTCTGAGGAAATCTATTTCCACAGCTCTCAATTTTCTCTTCTGTTCTGGGAACTGCCATATTTCTGCTCCATACACTGTAACAGTTTCAATCATATATTTATATAATCTAATTTTCGTTTTCTTGCTTTTATTTTTATACCAGATAACTGCGTTCAGGGTTCCTAAAATGTTTCCTCCTTTAATGAGTCGTGTTTCACATTCCATTTCTATAAAAACACTGTTTTTGTATTGTTGTTCACATGTACTTTATGTCCTCTGTTGTTCTTATTATTTCTCCAGTTTCCATAGCCAATACGTCATGTGTACTGCCTAGAGTCCAGTATACTGTTTTTTCTAGGTTGAAGCTTAGTCCCCATTTCTCATAACCTTCTTTTATCTTCCTAGTCAAATATTCAATATCTTCTTGTTCTTGCACAATCAGCACCTGATCATCAGCGAGCTGTAGGGTATTGAGTTTTGGATTTTCATAAAGTTCCAGCCCAGCACTTTTTTTTTCCATACCTGTAACACCGCATTAACATACATTTTAAAGAGGGTAGGTGACAAATAGCATCCTTGCTGTAGTCCTTTTGATATAGGAAATGTTTGGGTCATGTGTTTTCCAACTTTCACTTTTCCCTTTTGGTATATATACAGTTTCTTTACCGTAATTATTAAGATTTTATTTACATTACTTTTATTCATATCTTGGAAGACCATGTGAAGTTCTCTCCCTGTTTGCAATTTCTTTTGCATCACCTGGGACAGACAAAACAGGTTATCTAAGCAAGATTAATCCGCCCTAAAAGCACTTTGTTCTTCTTTGTACTCCTTGTATCCATCTTCTGTTAATTCTCTTAATATTCTTCCAAATACCTTATTGAATGTGTTTGTCACTGCTATCCGTCTATAATTTTCACATACGTCTTTCCTTCCTTATATATTGGTGTTATACAAGCCTTTTTTCAGTCTTTTGGTATATTGTCGTTATTTATACACATATTCATTAGCTTCATCATTATTCGTACTACCTTCGGTGTTCCATTGTTTATCAGTTCGCTTGGGATTTCCCCTGGACCTGGAGCTTTACCGCCTTTCATTTCTTTGATACATCTCTTAACTCTCTCTTCGGTTACTGTAATTCCTCCTGCTGGAGATATCTTTTCCCTTTTTGTAATTCTGAGGAAGTCTGATCTTCCTTCATTTAATAATTTCCTAAAGTACTCTTCCCATTTGCTTACAGATATACTTTG